CTGAAAAATTTAACCTTTTCTGGTTTCAAAGTTAGCAGCAGTCATGAGAAATGTGCACTAAATTAAGTATATATCAGTTTTTTTTAAGCAAAATGAAAAAAGTTAAAAAGATTTTACATTTAAAATATCTAGTGGGACCAGATGAGATGTTGTCATGGGCCTGGTTTGGCCCTCGGGCCTCGAGTTTGACACATAGGACGTCAGGTTTCCTCCCACAGCCCAAAAGATGCACACTGGTTGTTTGGTGGTTTAAAACGGTCTCTAGGAGTGGGTGGGAAGAGTTCTCTTTTGTCCCCCGCTGTGGAAAGATTAGGGAACTGGAAATATTCCCGTCTGTCCATTTGTCTTATGAGCACGATGACTTGGAAAACAGGAAACGAACCAACGTCACTTTTGTCGTGTGACACAAGAAAAGTGTAAAAAATTGGTTTGATACATAAAATCCAAGATGGCCACCACCATACAAATAAGTAAACCAGCCACCCCAATCATTTGAGGGAACTATGCCTTCTAGTTTTTATTTTGCTTAAAAGTGTAGTTCCTTGAATGACTGGGGTGGCCAAAGATGGGGGCCACGGCCACCATTGCCGCCCCCCACGGCTTCACCAGGTGGTGGATAAAACTGCTCCCTCCTCTTGCCAGGATTGTTCACTGTGTGTTGACTTGGACAAGCAAATAAATAAATAAATAAAATGTTATTCACAGAGTAACAAACATCTCACACCAAAAACATTTAGGTTTACTTTCAGTAAATCAGTTCGTCCAGACAAACTACTTGTGTTTATGTGTGATGGAGTGACACCCTGTCCAGAGTGGACCCCCCCGCCCCCACGACCTCTGGAACCATGAGACGGGGCTCTGGACTGGATCCAGTGAGAACAGATGGAATCACAAGAACTGAACCCTTTTTATGACATTTGACCGTTGATCTTCAGTTTCAGCCGCGGCGTTTGGTAAAACTTCACAGCTCCGTGACGGATCGTTGTAGTTTCTGTGGAAAAGCTGTGGAGGTCCAAGAGACGGCTTCACTCCAGGAACGTGCAAACCAAGAAATGGGTCCAACTCTCAGCCACACTCAGGTGTGGTACCGCTGAGAGGCGTCTGCGGGGTCAGTCGGACCTGAAAGTCCTTCTCTGGCTCCAGAAGCTTCTGCCTCCGTGTGAAAAGAGTTGGATAAGAAAACACACTGAACAAAAATGCACACTTGTGTTTTCACTTCATGAGCTGAACTCAAAGATCTAAAAGGTTTTCTCTCACACGACGACGACACAGATGTTGGAGGTTTTGAAGGCGCACCAGCTGCAGGAACGTCCACCAGAGCTGTTGCACGTGTTCATTTCTCTACCATAAACCAGCTCCAAAGGTGTTTCAGAGAATTTGGCGATACATCCAACCAGCCTCACAACCTCAGACCACGTGCGCCCTCAGCAGTCCAGGACCTCCACATCCAGCGTCTTCACCTCCAGGATCACCTGAGACCAGCCACCAGCTGCTGTAACGTTCAGTTTGCAGAACCAAACTGTCAGAAGCTCGTCTGCTGCTCGTCGTCCTCATCAGGATCCACCTGACTGCAGTTCATCATCATCATAACCGACCTGAGTGGACAGATGCTCAGTCCATGGAGAGGTTCTCTGCACCGATGAATCCTGGTTTCAGGGCAGATGGCAGAATGTGTGTATAGCATCGTGTGGGTTAGCAGTTTGCTGATGTCAGCGTTGTGAATGGAGTGGTCCATGGTGGAGGTGGGGTCATGGTATGGGCAGGTTGAGTTATTGACAATGAACACAGGTGCATTTTATTGATGGCATTTTGACTGCACAGAGACACCAAGAAGATCCTGAGGCCTGTTGTTCATCCATGGCATCACCTCCAGCTGCAGCACCATGATGCACGGCCCCGTGTTGCAAAGATCTGTACAGAATTCCTGGAAGCTGAAAACATCCCAGTTCATGGCCAGCATGCTCTCCAGACGTGTCCCACTGAGCATGTTTAGGACGCTCTGGATGGACGTACACGACGTCACAGTTACAGAAGAGTGGACAACGTTCTACGATCAACAACCTGATCAACTCTCTGAAGGAGACGTGTTGCAGTGCACGAGGCAAACGGTGGCCACTAGGGGTGCACCGATTGAAGTTTACTGGCTGATCACCGATTTCTAAAAAGTCTGACCTGCCGATACCGATTTAGTTTAATAATCGACACGCTCCGGTGTTATTAGGTCACAATGCACCTTCAACTTTCCATTCTTATTATACTGAAAAACATACCCTTGAACAATATCCTAGAAAAAATACTTGTTTTAACTGGCCATGAGGCGGTGTTTCTGAAATATAAATCAAGTTTAGACAATTGTTGTTAAAACTAAAACAAATCTGTAAAATCGGTTTCTCATGCAAGTAACGTCCGATTAATCGGTGCACCCCCTAGTGGTCACACCAGACAATACAGATAGACACATCGGATCCATGACGTGCAGCGTGAGTCTCAGCGGGGCATGAGGGTTCTCCAGGACCCTGTCGCTTTGTTGAAAATATTGTATCGATTTAATCGAAAGTCCAGGTGACCAGATCCATGACAGTCGTTTACGGTTTGGAAGATGTGTAAATAGAAGCTCCGATACACAGACAGAGAGCGAAAAAGCAGGAGGAGGACGGGAGAGGGAAGAAGGGCGTCCGTCTCGCACGAGAGCGAGTGGTGGCAAAAATAAAACCTCATGTTGTCTAATCAGCATCTTGATCTGCCTCAGGTGGATGCATCCTCTCAGCAAAGGAGAAGTGCTCACTAACAGATTTACACTTGTGAACAATGTTTGAGAGAAAAAGATTTTCGTGTTCATAGAAAAAGTCAAATCTTTGAGTTCAGCTCATGAAAAATGGGAGCAAAGACAAAAGTGCAGCAGTTCATCTTTGTTCGGAGCATGTGCTGTAGGTTCAAGACATAAACTCTCTCCTGAGGGTGACGCAAACGTAAAGTCGTGCTCGATTGTTCAGAATGACTTAAATTCAGGTTTGTTGTCATCTGAAAGCTGCACCTGAAGCTTCTTCAGTAACGCTACGTCCATGTAACAACATGTTAAAGACTCCTGTAACTACAGAATATTACCTATGAATTATTTCCTTATTATCATACCGCTACCCCTCTACTACCATCAAATTACCGAGCTGTGATTTGAAATGTTTCCCCGTTTTGAATCCTCTGCTTGTCCTGTAGATTTTGGGGCAACAAAAACATCCAGGACACGTGAAACTCCGACTACGTCCCGAAATGATTCAGGACACCGTTTCTTATTTGGGTGAACGCCCCAAACAAAAACAGAGGAAGTATTTATGTCACTTCCTGCTGAATAATCAAATATTTAAGTGAACACGATCAACGTTTCACATCCAACATGGATTCATAAAGAAGGGCGGAGAATCCTCCGGAGCGTGGAAGGATATCTCCACACAGACGACAAACGTGGCTGCGCTGGGGCTGGATTTGGCAGCAGAGGCTTCAGAAGATAAAGAGAAACGCTGCGATCCAAAACAAACCAAACAAGCTTGAGCTGAGGAATCAAAGAAGAGAAGAGGAAGGAAGGAAAACAAAACAAGTCATTAAAATCCACCAAAGAAAAGAAGGAAACGTGACGGGGACAGGGACACAATCTGTCCTGTGAGGGACAGGAAACAGAGTCTTACAGACTTTAGTGAAGCTAAAAACGAACTATGGTTCATTATCTTTATTAAATAACAACCAAACAAAATAGAAAATAACATGAAAACCATTTCTGATAAACATCGTCAGTGGTGTGGAACAAATATAAGAAATGTATAAAAACAAAATAAATAATGTACCGGTACATTTCTGTCTGTTTTCAGGGATTGATTAGTTTGGACTTCCTGTGCAGAGCAACCAATCAGCTGACGAGCTCCGGTGGCAGCTGCAGACGGTTTCTAATAAACTGCAGCCACAACGAACGGAAAGAAGGAGTTAATCCACATTATTGAATACAACAGATTTTAATGGGGGCTCAGTTGGACAGCTGTTCCCTCTCAGCAGCAGGTCGCTGGATCAAATCCCGGCCCGAGACCTTTCTGGGTGGAGTTTGCATGTTCTCTCCGTGCTGCGTGGGTTTTCTCCGAGTACTCCAGTTTCCTCCCACAGAGCAAAAACATGCACGTTACACAGGTGACTCTCAAATGTCCCTAGGTGAGAGAGAGAATGGTTGTTTGTTTCTGTGTCCCTGTGATGAACTGGAGACCTGTCCAGGTGTCCCTGTGATGGACTGGAGACCAGTCCAGGTGTCCATGTGATGGACTGGAGACCAGTCCAGGTGTCCCTGTGATGAACTGGAGACCAGTCCAGGTGTCCCTGTGATGGACTGGAGACCAGTCCAGGTGTCCCTGTGATGGACTGGAGACCAGTCCAGGTGTCCCTGTGATGAACTGGAGACCAGTCCAGGTGTCCCTGTGATGGACTGGAGACCAGTCCAGGTGTCCCTGTGATGGACTGGAGACCAGTCCAGGTGTCCCTGTGATGAACTGGAGACCAGTCCAGGTGTCCCTGTGATGAACTGGAGACCAGTCCAGGTGTCCCTGTGATGGACTGGAGACCAGTCCAGGTGTCCCTGTGATGGACTGGAGACCTGTCCAGGTGTCTCTGTGATGGACTGGAGACCATGTCAAAAACTAGAGGCCTAGTCCACTACAAGGGCGAAATGTCTCAATAAAAAAAGAAACAGTCCAGATGACCCGACTGAGAATTATTGGTAATTAGTTTGATGTGTGACACCTGGACTCGAACCTGCAGCCTCAGGACCACAGGATGGACAAACAGAGCAGCTCTTACTGCAGGGAACTTATCATCATGTTGTTTTCTAAAATATCAAAGAATGTTCATGACCCCGAGGAACAAACACAGAGAGACACGTTTGTCTCCTGGTGGCACCGGGAGACACTTTGAAAATGACATATTAAAGTCCTAAGCATGGCTGTATGATTTATTGTATGTGTGTGTGTGTGTGTGTGTGTGTCGTCAGCTACTCACCAAGAACTGAAGCTGCTCCATGACGTAAAAGTGAGTTTGTCTCCAGGCACAAGAAACAAGTAGAAAATTAAAAAAGACAAATAAAGAAGAGTTTGTGTGTTGTTAGAGGTTGGACAGTTTCTTGTGTGTTATTGGGAGACGGCGTCGTCCTCATGAGTAGGATTTAAGTCCACTACTGTTGTCCCTCGCAGAGAAGCTCCGCCCATCCCTTCTGTGGACGACGACGGCGGAGAGTTTTTAATAACAGCTGGAAAACATCAGGTTGGAGTGCGGTTAGAAAAGGTGGACTTGAACTTCTCCCCTCCTGATGTTTGCGGTGTTTGTTACCTTGGCCTGCAGAGGAGGATGGAGGCGGAGCCAGGATGTTGGCCCCGCCTCCTCCTCCTCCGTTGGTCTGCGAGCAGACGTTGGCGTGGCGAGCGACAGCTTTCTGCTTGTAGTGGTTACTATGAAGCTTGTACTTCATCAGGAGGATGAAGATGAAGACGAGCACCGAGGCCACGATGATCCCCCCGATGATGATGATCATGGTACCCCCCAGGAACTGAAACACAAACACTCAGTGAGCAGACCCGGTCCCAGCAGGTCCAGTTCAACAATCATTTCATCGGAAACAGAATTCGGTTTAAGGAACAGAATAAAAACCAAAATGGACAAATCTTTGGAAAATGTTCATTAGTTTTCTTTTAAAAAGAAGAAACAGGAAGAACCGGACAGAGCAGCAAAAAACACGACAGAGCGACATAAATGCAGCCAAAGTTCTGGTTGAGTCCACGGACCTGGTCTCGTATGGAGTGACAGCGCCCGTACTCCGAGTCCGTGGTGAAGGACACGCAGCCCACCAGCTTGGTGCCCGTCAGGGTCGTGATGCCGTCGTCATAAACGGCCAGAACGCACAGCTCGTAGTCCCGGGACGACGCCAGGTCGCTGAGCAGGAAGTACTTGTGGTTGGCAGGAACCATCCTGAAGCAAAGAGGGGAGGGGCTTGTCAGTCATTTCATTTGGTAGTTCTGTTTTACTGTTTGAATTTCTCGTCTCTAAAAGGAGCGGCACGGTGGATCAGTCGGTAGAGCTGCTGTCTCTCAGCAAGCAGGTGGCTGGTTCAAATCCCGACCTGAGACCCTTTTGGCTGAAGTTTACATGTTCTCTCCGTGCTGCGTGGGTTTAATCCCACAGACCAAAAACATGCACGTTAGACTGATTGGTAACTCTAAATGGTCCCTAGGTGTCCCTGTGATGGACTAAGACCTGTCCAGGTGTCCCTGTGATGGACTGAGACCTGTCCAGGTGTCTCTGTGATGGACTAAGACCTGTCCAGGTGTCCCTGTGATGGACTGAGACCTGTCCATGTGTCTCTGTGATGGACTGAGACCTCTCCAGGTGTCCCTGTGATGGACTGAGACCTGTCCAGGTGTCCCTGTGATGGACTAAGACCTGTCCAAGTGTCCCTGTGATGGACTAAGACCTGTCCATGTGTCCCTGTAATGGACTGAGACCTGTCCAGGTGCTCCTGTGATGGACAAAGACCTGTCCAAGTGTCCCTGTGATGGACTAAGACCTGTCCATGTG